AATATGTAATGATGTATATTTAGATATTAAAAAATATATATATCTATAAAAAAGGCAGTGACAGAGCCAGATGATTGAACCTTATTGTGCCTTAAGCCTCAAAATAGTATTAAACTCCCACTGTAATGTGCTGAGAGCTTTGAATGAAAGGTTCCAAGTTGTGCAAAACAGTGTTCCGGTAGGAAAAGTCTTGCACTGTAGAGTATTAAGTGCTTAAAATTGTCATACTGGCTATTTACTTCCATCTTCCTCATGAGTAAAATATATGATGGGTTTGATCTTTACATTTTGAAATGCATGATCTGTACTATCAAAGGACGCTGCTACAATTAGGTTTCAACATTTTGCACTTTGTGCAAGTGTGCATGCTGAAAGCAACATACTGCCAGGACCTGCCATATTGTTACTGATGTCTCAGACTAACACAGTTGGATACAAATTGTATTGCTGTTAATTTTAACAAATCCTAGCAAACGTTATTTGGTGTTGTGGCAGTTATTCCCAAAACGAATTCTTTCAGGAAAAGCCTCATTCTGTCTTAGGGCAAGGTACTGCTTAGGTACTGCTTTCCCATTAGGATGGGAAAGGAAGATCAGAATAGCAGTACAAAGAACCTGAAGGTTTATAGTGCAAAGAATTTCTTTATTTTGAAATAAAATATTTTTATTATTTTAGGTTGCAAGACACCTTGCTTTTCTGCACAAAGAACTTGAGGAAGTATGCCATCTCCGACATGATACGAAATCCTGCAAGTAGCTAATAAACACATTGAACAGCTGAAGAACTTCGGGTCAGATTTTTATTCATATGAAAAGTGAACAGCTTCTCCAGAGGATCTCTCGTCTTGGCTCCCCGCTTTGTGGGCATAAGCAGACAAGAAATTCAAAGTTGGGTGTGGCACTGGCTTATAAACATACAAACAGAGCTGAATTTCTCCCCTGCCAGATAGTACAGAAGTAGTCGCCTGCATTAATCAATTTGTTCAGTACAGTTCTGTTCACATAAGCGAGCAGCGCAGCACTGCACAGGTGGAGCTGAAGCGCAGTGGTTGGTGCTTAAAGCCTAGCATGTGAAGACATGCACTTTGTACAGGCAGCCTTTCCAGTCTAAGACCTCTCTTCCAAGACCACATCTTACACAAGGCAGTAAAACTCCCAAGAAGTATTTGATTTACAAGTCTCACTGGGGTCTTCTAAAACTAATTCCCATACATGTGTGATGATGACTAGCCTTTCCTAGCTACACAGCAGCAACAGTGTACCGATCATATGGTGGGATCGAACAACTGGCAAAGAAGAAATGGACTCAAGAACAGGAATTTTAGCAGAACTCTTTCATCTGAGTAGATTCAAAGTCTTGTAGTTGTCTTAACTACCATGGTAATCTTAAAAGGGAGGTGCCAAAGTCCCTCCAGAAGACAAATGCCCCAGAAGGAGATGCCAGAGACTCTCCAGAGGATAAAACAGAAGGAATGCCCCTGCTAAAGCAGCCTGATTCATAGCTTAGCTGACCTCTGAGCAAGGCACAAAACTGCTACACATTGCTTGTTAAGATAGATGCATGGTGCACACCTAGGAACAGCAACTGGTACGAGCAGTTGGTGGAAAATACACTATGTGGCCTTAAGGTCCTCAGACCAAACCACAGTTCCCCAGATCACCCCCCACCGTGCCCCAGACATCAAATGCTTATCCTTCCTTTGTATCACATAAGCTGCTGTAGGTGCACCAAATTCAAACCAAAGCAGGTGAACAAGCATGACATTCAGTAGAGTTGTTTCAGTTGCTTACTCTGAACTAATGTATGCACACCTCACCTCAGCCTTAGGGCAGAAAAAGAAGAGAATGCAAATGTGTTCTAACTGAGCGGGGGGGCGGGGAGGGGGGGAGAATCCATTGGAAATACAGTCCTGAGTGTAGCATTAGACATGTTAGCTATATTTTGTAACTTTGAGGATAATCAGAGCTGTTAGAGTTGAGAGGAGAGGTAAGCCATCACAACTTTATATATTAGTCATGCTTGCTTTTACCTATTATAACAAATATAGGGCCACCCCTTTAGAATAAGCTTTACACATCTACAGACTTTTAAAAAGTTACTATGAACTGCCACAGGCTTTGGATTCCACAGGACCTCTTAATGACTAGCAAATGTAAGGGGCAGTACCCGGAAAGCAACTGTTCTCTTCCCTCACAAAAATACACACACTTAAACAGGACAGATTTTTAGGACAGGTTTACTTTTCTTCTCCACAGATCCTAAGGGAGAGTTCATACCATACTTTTTCCTTTTCATCACCAACAGAGATGCAAGACAATTAGGTACCTGTTTTATTTTTCAGGATGTTTATTTTGTACACGAATTTTTAAAAGCCAAAGAAAACTGAAAATTTTTAGCATTTCCCTGAAACCAACGTTTTCTAAATTAACATGAAAGCTTGGTTATTCTAATCCTGCACTTAACAGTTCACGTAGAGTAAGTTGAAGGCACTGGAATAACACGCTTTTTCTGCTACAAAACAATTTCCTTGGAAAGCTTTCATAGTATGAACAGACTCTGCTGTTTTATATTCGAGGACAAGGCCTTCTCCCCTTTCAGTTTTAATTAGTTTGGTATTGACAGCTTTACCAGCATTGCTAAAATTAGTACTTAGTCTTATAATAGCTTCAGATGGAAGGCTAGGAACTATAGTTTTCAGGTCTATTGTCGATTCCTGCCCAAAATTGAGAACCATCATAAAGACTCTGTCTAACCCATCCAGTTCCCTCACATACACAAAAACATTACTGTCATTCCAGATGTAGCACATCCACCCCCGATGAATGGGTAGCTCACTGTTGCGAAGTAAAGTTAGCTCTCTGTACAAATTCAGGGTTGAGTTGGACCAGGTCATCTGCATCTGCAACAGTCAGCATGAACAGGGTCATTTCTTTGCACTGAATATAGAAAATACTACTCACCTCTCACACCCACGCAGTCTGCTGAGAACACACCTATTAGCAAGCGTTTTGCTTTGACAAGTATCCCTCTTCAAATTTGTCTGCAAATTCCACTGAAAAACTGCTTTTGCTCATGCACTTCCTTGACACTTGTGGAGCAGCAGAGACAGAGGTTATTAGGCAGGATGGAATTTCCCCAGCACTGACACTATTTCTTCCTCCCACAGTATCCTTATAGTACTGTTCATTCAGGGGAAAGCCACAGCCATTCAAAGCTTGATACTGAACTTCTTTCACTGAGTCTAATCTACTGAAGTCATGGGGTTTGTTTTGTGTTTTATTTTTCCTGTCTTCAATGCTGGTCAGCACTGTAGATGAGCAAAATCTGTTTGATTCACTGCTCAACTGCCTTGAAAAAAAAGTCTTCTGTATGTTATAGATGGTCTATGTTAAGTTCTTGTTACAAGGCCAGTGCTTTCTATAGTAACAGAAGTGAAAAAAGCCCAGATTTCAATTTAATATTAACAACCTTTTAATAATTTTAAAGAGCCAAATTGCCACATCTACATTATAATTGCAGTTGCCCTGCTTAAATGAATGTAGATGAAGTAGACTCCTTGCTCGTGCAAGGATTTCTTTTTCTAATAAAGTTTGTTAGGTTTCAATGCCTTTTTATTTTCCTCCCTTGAGTTTGTTCTTACTAGCTACACTACCAGTTCCCACCAAGTAAAAGGAGTCAGAGCAAAACAGATATATTAAAATATTTTTAAACCATTAGTCACACATATAGATACCTACTTCAACATTTACGCTTTGGAAGTCGGAGTTAACAGGTAGCCAGCTACTGTTGCCTTCAGTAAAACCAGCATTATCTTTGCCATCCCACTGCATGGGGGATTTCTCTGGAAAGGTCACCTAGAAAATAAAGTCATGTCAGAGCCATTACCAAGAAGTGACTCGTTTTGCTTAGCATATTAAAAAGTTATCCCTTGAATAGCATGTTCTCAGATCTTCCAAACGAGCACCATTTCAGTATTACTTTCTTTGGTTTAAGTGAAAATTCCGTAAGGAGGATTTAGTCCTGCTCCAAATTTAAAGAGAAAATAGGAATTGAGAGAGTTCCTGAAATGGAGAACGGTCGGTCTCATGGATACAGCATCACCGGGTAAAATGTGGAATTCCCAAATGACTCTACTAGTTGTCTCCCCTGGTGACAGGTAGTTGGATGAAAGTTTACTAATGACAGCTAGGATATTCTGATAAACATCTAGACATGCAGTGAGTGAATACATGAAGTAAGGAGTCTTTAAGAAGAGATGCTGTTGCAACAACAGTAAACAACTAGTAAATGCTATTCAGTGTCCTTTCTTTTGTAACCATCACACTTTTCACCTTAGAACTCTTCAAGCTTATGCAAGAGGTACAATTTGGACAGGATTATTTGTGTTAGAAAGATAAAAGTATTTCCAAGTGCAAAAACTTTACTGAAAACCAGCTTTTAGCTGATTAAAAAGTGTCGATGTAAGAAGTCTGAAGTTCTCATTTTGAAGGATTCAGAAAAATTCTGAAAAAGCTTCCTCATTGTTATTGAGGAGCTTGCCAAAAGATCTGACAGTTAAATTTAATGATATAAGAGGGCATAAAATATTTTGCACATACTTTAAGTGTTTGTTTTCCATGAAAACTGTTTTTCATATAAAGGGCACTTTTCAATACAGTCTGTCAGAACAGCAGCTCAACAAAAGAAATTGTCACTTTGCTTTGTGACATTATAAATAACGGGTTTCTCCTTTTAGCATGTTCTGAAAAGCAGGGGAAAAAAAAAAATCCTAAGTTTTCAACACTGGTAACACTCCCTTTCATCTTTACCTCTTTCAGCTTCTCCTGAAGCATTTCAGATGCTGGGGCTAAAAACTATACCCTGAGCAAATACTCTCCATCTTTCTAAGACACCCATTAACCAGGGATTCTTCCTCTCCAGACTGAACGAACAGTGATTTGCGTCGCTACAAATCTGTGAGCTACAGGGTAGCCACTAAGAGAGTAAACCCTGAGGAGCCAAGGGCAAGCCATTTTTCAGAAGAGTATCATCCTGTCAGCAGTAATCAGCAGCAGGAAGAAAACGCAGGAGGTATTTTGACCTAGGTTGTTTCCGAGAGGAAATGAGGTTTCCTTTTAAATCAGAGAATCGTTTCCCCACATCTGAATCAGACAAACCTGGTGACGGTCC